CCTCCACGCTGTGCAAACGGCACGTCTGAGGCCAGCACAGCCAGGTTAGCGACCCCACTTCCCGGTCGAGTCCACGGGCGACATGATGGGAGGACTGCGCTCCCTCAGCTGGGCCTCAGTTTCCCCACATGCACACACAGGGGCCCGTCCTGCTGACCCCCGGGAAGATCTGGGCTCTGAGCTTCCCTGGCTGGGAGGCAACGGTAACTGTCACCGCCCCCGGAAACCCTTTTCCTCGGAAGAGAAAAACACACCAAGCACGGGGCCGGCTGCCGTCCAGGGGAACACGAAACACGTGTTTGCATGAAACACAGGCCTGCTGGGGAGCCAGAGAGCACGCGTGCGCCAGGCTCCACCGGGAGGACCCGGCCGGGTGTCAGGGCGGGACGTGGCTGTGTCCTGGCCGCGCCTGAGCAAGAACTTCAGGTGCGGGGACTCCCCTGCCCATCTCCCTGGCGACTTGGTAACAACCCCCCACAGGCGCACAGCCCTTCAGTGTTTGGGGCGTGTCCACGCTCCTTACACCACCACAAGCAGCCTGTGGAGAGGGCAGGATGGAGGGGGACATCCCATTTTGCAGATGAGGAAACAGAGGCTCAGAAGGGTGATGCCCCAAGTCCCCCAGAAATTCCGTGAAGACAGAGGGACACACTGAGCCTCCTNCAAAGACAGAAGGACACACTGAGCCTCCTGCCTCCTGCCTCCTGCTCCACAGCCCAGCCACCTGCTCCCTGTGCACCTGCCCCAGCAGGCTCAGGTGGAGGGGCAGTGGGCGGTCACCTCGGAGAGGGAGACAGGGGGCCAGAGGACACTGTCGCCATTAAACACCTCCAGCCCCTACCTGCTGACGCGCGACGTCCCTCTCACGGAGGCTCAGCCGCCCATCGCTCATCAGCAATGCTCACAGCGCAGGCCCTAAGCTCCCACGCGGGGATGACCGACCGACCCTGCTTTGTTCTGTTTCCCACAGGCGGGGCGGGCTCAGGCTAGGGCCCCAGATGCCTCAGTCCCTCGCCACCTCTGTCCCTCGCCACCTTGGCTGCGGTTAGTCTGGCTGCTTCTCTCCAAGTAGCAAACTCAAGCCACCGGATCCAGTTCTCGGCCTAACGCCCACCCCAAGCCCNGTTCTGTTTCCCACAGACGGGGCGGGCTCAGGCTAGGGCCCCAGATGCCACCTCTGTCCCTCGCCACCTCTGTCCCTCGCCACCTTGGCTGCGGTTAGTCTGGCTGCTTCTCTCCAAGTAGCAAACTCAAGCCACCGGATCCAGCTCTCGGCCTAACGCCCACCCCAAGCCCAGCCGANCTCTCGGCCTGACACCCACCCCGAGCCCGGCCGACATGCATCGGCCTCAGGTTTCCAGCACACAGAGGGGCCCTTGCTCAGACCTCCCTTAGAGGCCCCTCCTCCGGGGCCCGCGGTGGATTTGCCTTTAATATTCAGGCTGCCCGGCCTCTGTGGGGTGGGGGCCCCATCAGGCATCCACGCAACCAGAGCAAGGGCCCAGAGCACAGGGACAGACAGGCAGGCATGCGGGGCAGGCGCGGAGAGACCGACTGTACCATGCTGTTTGTAGATGGGGGGTTTCCTATAGATGTTATCTTTGACGCCAGTGTCTGGGAAAGAAGAGAGAAAAGAGAAAAAGGAGAGAAAGCAGGGTCAGCGAGCAAACAGTGATGCTTCCACCTACCGATTTCACGTCAGCACCCGCCAGTCACTGACTCAGAACCTCCAGAGGGGACCCGGGTCCCCACGGACAGCTGACACCCGAGCCCCAGCCAGCCCGGGCGTCCCACCCCCCACGGGAAGGGGCAGAGGGAGCAGGTGGCAGCCAGAGACGCGGGGCCCCCCACGGGCCCAGGCAGCCGCTTCTCTCCAGCCCAATCCCAGGAGGGCAGAAAGTCTCCCCGTTGTTTGTGGGCCTTTAGGAGAAACAGGAAACCTGGGGCTGTGCAAACCCATTCGCTGATTTTTTAAAGCATCTCAGAATTGGTGGGGGGAAGGGGCCTGGGGATCACCCAGCGCCCGCGGAGGCGAGGCAGGCCCGGGCGCGTCGTGCCTACCTGGGACATGGAAATGGCGAGGAGCCTGCTGGTAGGTGGATGGGGGAGGCTTGCTATCGGACAGCACCGAGAGGCTGGGGGTGCTCCGGCCGCTTTCACTGCCTCCAGGCCGAAGAGCAGAGGCAGAAGGCAGGCGGGGGAGGGAAGCAAAGCAGAGTATTTCAAGCGCCGAAGCTCATCCCCAGTGAGCCCCGTGCCCCTGCCCGCCGGGCCACCCAGCCCCTGCCCGGGGAAGGGAGCGCGGCCCCCACCGACGTTTCCACAGTGAGCCCCCAACTTGTTAATCCAACCTCGCGCCCCCCCCTCCACTGGCCCCGTGGCGAAGGGACAGTGGCTCGAGGGCTGAGAGCCAGCCAGTGGGCGTCTAGTTAGCAGGAAGGCTGGCCGGGCCGGCTAGGCAGGGCCCCGCTCTCCTCGGGGTGCTGCTCTGCGCAAAGGGACCCCCTTCCTAAGTATCTTTTTTTTCTTTTAAAATAGCAATTTAGCAACCAATAAAGACATTTTCTTTTCTTTTTGAAAAAATATATCTTTATTGATTTCAGAGAGAGGGAGGGAGAGGGAGAGAGAGAGAAACATCAATGATGAGAGTCACTGATCGGCTGCCTCCTGCACGCCCCCTGCTGGGGATCGAGCCCAAACCCGGGCATGTGCCCTGACCGGGAATCGAACCCTGATCTCCTGGATCCTAGGTCTATGCTCAGCTGCTGAGCCAGGCCCGGCCGGGCCTGAGTATCTTTGTGTAAAAAGATGTTGCTTTCTTTAGAGAAGCCACACGTTAGCAGTGACAAAGGATTAAAGTGCTGGACTTCATCAGAGTCCGTCCTCAGAGCCGCGGGGTGGAAATTCACTAGCTACGGCCGGAACGAGCCGAAGCCGGCATCCATCAGCCGCCACGTTCCAAAGTGAGTTTCTGGCAAATTAAACGGAAAGAATCCCGATTCTGGCTCTGATCCCTCCTCCCATCTGGATTTGTAATTTCTGTTTTGCGAACCAGGTTGGATTATCAAGTCACAGACGTGGACGGCCGAGGTCCCCAGGAGAGCCCCCCACACCCATGTTTGAGGAATGACGTAATACACAGAACGCAATGGCATCAGACACCGTGGATGGCAAGGTGAGGCTCATTTCGGAAGACACTCATAGGGCACAACGTGCGACCTCTCCCATTGGCCTCAGGACACTCGCCGCCGCACCCGATGGCATCGTGGCACAGGGCAGGGCCACTGTGGCTCCAGACACCCCCTGGCTTTGAGCAGCTACAGCTGTTCGAAGCCGCAGCACCCCGAGGTGACGAGGCCACGCTTTAACGGCAGGGGGCACTGTGTGGACCTGGAGGTGGCCGGCCAGGGACCGTATAGCGGCTGCCGAGGAAGGGGCCGGCTCAGGGAGAGCTCCTGCCTGGATGGGGGGGCTGGGGCCCAGGGGGCTCCAGCAGGCCACACCCAGAGCCTCCCACTCCAGGCTGAGACCACAAAGGGGGCTGCTGACCAGCTTCGAGCATCTTCCTGTGCCTGGGTGCCAATGTCACCTGTAGGCGCTGATGGGACTTCCGGTAGACGACTGTCCACCCCCCTTCAGGGCTGCCGCCCCCCAGCACAGCAGGGAGCCTCCCAGAGCTTCCTGCCGGTCTGGGCTCCTGCACCGCTGGGGGGGAGCAGGGGTGTCCAGCCCGTGCCGAGCACCCAGGGAGACGACACCCGATGCCCTACAACTGTGGCCGTGGCTCACCCATTCCCAAGGGCTTTACCAATCTCACCTGCTCGGACTCTAGAGCAGTGAGGGCAGCTCCCCGGGGTGTCCTCACCGAGCTGGGTGTGCTCTTGGCACAGCTGTGGAATCTGGGGGGCCTCAAAGGGCTCGTTTCTCCCTGCCTAGAATTCATAGGCCCTCACCCACCATCCTGCCCAGGCCACAGCCTCTAACATGTCACAGATCTCCTGTCCCCCAGTTCCCAGTGCAGTGTCCTCCTAGGTCACAGCACGATTCTGTGTGCACATTTACCTAAGGAGGTCCCAGCTTCCACCAGGTGCTCCGGGGGCCCAGACCCAGAGGCAGCTGAGGACACAGACATGGTGACCCCACTGGTCCATGACGCCCACCTCCCACCTGCCCTCGAGGGGCTCCTACATAGTCATCACGCTCACGATCTTGGTCCCAGCCCAAGACGCCTCTGCTCACTTCCTTTCCTCCTCGCCTGCCCTCCTCCCCACATACTTCCCTGGAACCCTCTTTCCAGCCCTCCCCACGTGTCCAGACCTCTCCTGGGTCAAGGCTCAGGGGCAAAGCCTTCCTGGGGGACACAGCCCACTGCTGACCATCCCCTCCCCTGCCTGTTCACTGTGTTGCCTCATGGTAATAAAACGCTGACCGCTCACGCTGACCCTGCCCAGGCCACTTGGAGCGCCACGCCCACGCCAGCTCTGAGAACATCCACCGTGGCACACATGTCACCGTGGCCACACTCTAGGGGAGGGACGGGATCCTGGTGAGGCTCTGGCTACTGCTCTGGGACCAGCTTCTTCCACAGGCCTTAGCGGTAAAAGTCCCACACTGCTGACGTCACTGCGGATATGAGAAAACCAGAGGATCCTGGCTGTGGTGGCCTGGGGAAGGCACGGAGTCCCTTCCGACGAGGCCCGTGGCTTCTGCTGGAGGTGGCTCAGGACCGAGGCAGATTCTGACACCTGCTGGGGACGGTCCTCCCGCGAGAAGGTAGAGATGCCGGGAGCGTGCCTGCTGGCGGACAGGGAGCCCCAGCCTTTGAAAAACCACCGTCTTCTTTTAGCTTAAGCCAGTGACTTATTTTAGAGCATCCTGGGTGGCACAGAGAGTTCCTGCGATGTGCACCCCGGGCCCCCGCAGTTACTCTGTTACCACGCGTATCACCGCAGCGGGTACGCAAACGCCACATTTACTCGGGGTTCACCCGTTTTTATCTAACGATCTCTTTCTGTCCCAGGGCCCCCCAGGACACCACTGTACATCCAGCCGTCACATCTCCTCGGGCCCCTCTGGCCGTGGCGGTTCCTCAGACTCTCCTGCTCTTCACGACCTTGGCCGTTCTGAGAAGTCCCGTCAGGTGTCCTGTTAAATGTCCCGCAGTTGGGGCTCGTCTGACATTTTTATCAGATTAGACTGAGGTCGTGGTTCTCGGGAGGAAGACCACAGAGAAGTGCCTCTCTCCCCACTGGGTCAAGGGCACATGCTGTCCCATGACCTGTCACTGTGATGTGGACCCAGGTCCCCTGCCCGAGGGTGTGGTGGCAGCCAGGTTTCTCCACTGTACGGCTCCTTTCTCCACCCGGCCACACCGTCCTCTTAGGGAGGGAGTCGCTGAGCACAGCCACGCCTGAGGAGGCTTCCCCAAGAGTGGGGTGGAGGCGGGCACCCTGGGCACAGCTGGGGTGGAGGCGGGCGTCCTGGGCACAGCTGGGGTGGAGGCGGGCACCCTGGGCACAGCTGGCTACCAGAGCCCCCACAGGCTGGGATGCACCGGAGCCCATGGACTGAATGAGAGGTGCCACGGAGAAGAGGACTGGGTCCTTGGCTGTGGCCTCAAAGGGGGTCCAGGACCCGCAGTGGACACGACCCTGGAATGAGGGCCCAGCTATGGGCTCTGCCCCATGGAGCTCTGGGATCTGGGGGCAGCGCCATTTCTCTGAGCCTCAGTCTCCTCCAGGGTGAGTTCTGGAAAGAGGCCGGGCACTCCCGAAGTCACGGCCAGCCCTGGAAGTCTGGCAGGGGACAGAACCACGGGGGCCGGGCTCTCCCACATCCTGCAGCAGACAGGAGAGTGGGGCTTCATCTGATTCCTGAACAAAGGGAACCCGTGGCCTGAGCGGCCAGGAGGGAGTCAGGCAGAGACCAGCATCAAAGTCAGCAGGACCATAGGGGGCCAGTGCCTGTGCCCACGGGCACTGGGCCCTCTGCCCCGGGATGCCCTCAAATGAGCTATAATGCAGACAGTTTCCAAACCGAATTTTGGTGGGCGGCAGGGGACAGGGCTTTCCCCCCAGGGGTGGCAGGAGGCCCTGCTGCTCCCGCCGAGGAGAGTGGGCTCTCTCTCTCTGCCTCCTTCCCCAGCTCCCTCACATGGCTGTGGATGGGGTACTGCAGGCAGGGCCACTGCCCATGGGGCTGCCCTTGGCCAAAGCCCCATCCTGGCCTTTCCTCACCCTGGAGTGGTAAGAACTCGAGGGTGGAGACTCAGAGAGGGGCAGAGGAGGGGTGGCCCCAGCAGGACAGAGGGCTTCCCAGGCAGTCAGTGCAGCTCACACGGGCCACCGGGGAGCTAGGCTAGAGCAGCCAGGACAGCAAGAGTCCCATGGCCCCAGCTGGAACAGCCCCACGCACAGAAGGGCATCGCCAGGCGGAGGGAAGCTGCAGGTGGGGCCTCTGACATCGGGCAAAGGAACAGCTCAATGGTTCACGGCGAGTCTCTGTCCACCTCCGGGGAAGACCATACACTCGCATGCCCACGTATGTACAGCGGGTCCTGCCACTGCTGTCCCATTCACAAAATGTGCCATTTTTGGGCTTTGCTGCTTCTCAAGAGGTTCAGTATGTCCAGCAAAGACCACGAGTGGCAGGGACAGGTGCACAAGGGGGACAGTGGTCCCCAGGATCAGGGGTTCCCTTCTCAGTAGACCCAGTGAGGCCACAAAAAGCCAGTAATGATGATGCATCTAAGAGAACCAAGGAGCCCGTCTGGTGACCATCAGATGACGGAGTAATCGGCTGAGCCCGCCTGCCTCCTGGTCCCCTTGGGACAGAAGGTTCCTCCTGAGACATCCTAGCAGCTGTGGGGAATGGGAACTTCACTCTGTCTCTCGGGGAATCAGCCAGAACATCACCGCTGCTTCCGCTCATGCCCAAAGTCTCTGTGGTGTATCAGTCAGCTACAGCTGGGTAACAAACACCACAGACTGGGGGGCTTAGGCAACCGACACTTACTCCTCACAGTTCTAGAGGCTGGAAGGCTGGCAGGATGCGGTGTCAGGTGAGAGTTCCCTTCCTGGCTTGTGGACAGCCACTCTGTCTCACATGGCCTTTCCTCTGAGCACGTGTAGAGTGACTCAGAGATCTCCTGGTATCTTTCCTCTGCCTATATGGCCATCAATCCTACGGGACTGTGGTCCCACCTTTATGACCTCATGTGATCCCAATAACCTCCCAAAGACCCTTTTCTGAAGGCAGTCAAAATGGCAGTTAGGGCTTCAACATATGAATTTTGGGGGACACAGTTCAGTCCACAGCATATGGAAACATAGGAGCTCAGCCATTTTCCTAGTGGGATTCATGTACACACCTCCATGTAGGGACGTGGACAGTGGGCAGGTCTGCACCCTGGGAGGAGGCAAGAGTTGGAGCCACACAGGGTGTGCGTCCTGCCCAGGCCACCCTGTGGTCCACTCGGTGTGGACCAGTCACTGCCCTCTCCAGGCCTTAGCCTTTGGTCCTGATATCCGTGGCTAGCAGTCCCTGGGCACCGCGGAGCTGACAGGTGGGAAATGAAATGAGATGACAGAGGTCCAAGGGCAAGTGACGGATAGGTCCTAATCTCTCCCTGCAGCTTTCCACCCCACTCCTCACCGCTCACTCCTTCACATAATGAAGTACCTACGTTGTCCTCCCGGGAACATTCACACACAACAGACATGAAGCTGGACTCACGAGACACACAGCGTGGAGCACAGGCGTGAAACATGGGGCTCAGGGAAGCCATGCGGCGACACGGACACGGACACACACGTGTGGCAAACGCCTGGCCAGCACCCACAGCCCGCAGCACTGCGCGCCTTACCTCGGAAGTAGGGGATGTAATGATGTCTGAACACGGAGGTAGGGCTTGGGTGTTGGGACAGGGACAGGCAGCTACTGGTACCAACACTCACAGTACCAGCTGCAGGGCAACAGAGAGCAAGTCAGAGTCCGCGTGGCATGCTGGCCACAGAGCCACAAAATATTCCTAGGCCCCACCTGCTAGGAACATTTTTGCTTCCTCTCTCCAAGAATGCAGACCTTTTGAAGGGAGCCACCAAATACACTTTCCACCGGTCTGCTCCAGGCTCGGAGTGAGGAAGCCCTGCTCTCTGGGGGACGGGAGTTGCTGACCCCCTGAGCCCTGCCTGTTGCCCCACCTGGGGGCTCCTTGGGATCAAGGACACAGGTGGAGAGCAGCTGGCTAGGCTGGTGTTTGCGCAGACGGTCACCTGACAATCCCAAGGCCTCGGCAGCCGAGATGCAGGTCTTGGCTCTCTGGGGTTACCACCCGACGGGTAACCCAAAGTATGGTGCTCAGGGGTCAGCGGAGGGGCCCTCAGAGAGCCCAACTGCTCTTCACTCCCCGACTCACTTACTTGCCTGCTCACTCACTCACACGCTCATTCACTCATTCACTCACTCATTCACTCATTCACTCGCTCACTCACTCATTCACTCACTCACTCACTCATTCACTCACTCACTCATTAACTCACTCACTCACTCACTCATTCACTCACTCATTCACTCATTCACACTCATTCACTCATTCACTTATTCACTTACTCATTCACACATTCATTCACACAATCACTCACTCACTCATTCACACACTCACTCATTCACTCACTCATTCACTCATTCACTCGCTCACTCACTCACTCATTCACTCACTCACTCATTCACTCACTCACTCATTCACTCATTCACTCACTCANACACAATCACTGACTCACTCATTCACACACTCACTCATTCACTCACTCATTTACACACTCAGTCACTTCACTCATTCATTCATTCATTTACTCACTCATTCATTTATCCACTTTCCAAACCTCTCTTACTGAGTGGGATGTACCAGGCACACTGCAGGGAGCCAATGAAAATAAGTTTGCAAATGAATGAGCTTTGATTTTCCCACAGAGGCTGTGAAAAATAAGAGCTGTAGCCCATGGATGTGGAAATGGCATCATGCAACAGCCGGCCATGGAAGGAGCGGTGTGGAAAAAAATCCCTCAGAAAGCAGGGTCCTTTTTGTGTGTGGAGCGGCCCTGTAGCTTGGACAGGCTGAGGGCGATGAAGAGTTCTAGAAGCTAAGGACAGCATCAGGCAGGGATGGGGTGGGGTAGGGCGGGGTAAAGGGAACTGCCCACGGGGTCTCTCCCTGCTCGGAGCAGCCTGGCAGAGGCCTCTTGCCAACTCTTCCATAGGACTGCTGTCCTTGGGGCCACAGACCCAGCTACGGGTGAAGTGTCAATGGATATTGACTCTATTTTCTGGCCACTGATTTTGCTTTCAGACCTCAAACCTTCCCAGACCCACGTGAGCTCAAAACGAACGGACTCTGGTGTCCTTCCATCTTTGCGATTTTATTTCCTGACGTCTGCTCTACTAAAACATTAATTCTATTAGGTTTTAAATGCTCAGTTCTGCCTTGCGTGTTTCACAGCACAGGTCCTCTCCCCAACAGGGAGGCCAGCTGCCTCTGCGGTCACCCTCCCCACCTGGACGCGACAAGGCTTTTTCCTGTGTCACTAAGTGGACGGGTTCTCCATCACCCGCGGTTAACCCCACACCTGCCTGTCATTCCTCCAGTTGTGTGTACGAGACGAATTCATAACAGAAAAGGTAACAAGAAATGCCACTTCACTAAGGGTACAAGAAGCCATGGGGCCAAGTACCTGGCCGGCTGTAGTGCTGGGGCGACCGTGAGGTCGGGGTGTAACGCCCAAGGCTGACAGACCCAGTGGAGCTTGGGCTGGAGGTCCGACACTGCTTGTAGGAGCGGTCGTCCTGGTCCCCCTGGGAGGAAAGACAGCCTGGTGAGCACAGGGGCCAGAGCACAGCCTGTCGCTCTCCCACCCACCCACTCTCCACCCGGCGTTCACGTTCCTGACCTAAGAGCCTGACTCAGCACGGCCCCAAGGTGAACCCTGCACCTGCGGCCACAGGTGAAGAGCCAGGTGGGGGTCCGGCCTTGGTGCTGAAACTCCTGCAGGCCTGAGCATGGTGCCCGTGCCCGCCAGATACCAGAGGGCGGGGTCCGCCCCACCCCTCCAACAGCCCCTCCTGTGGCTGAGGCGCCCACTACGGTGCTGGAGGCACCTGCTCCTCCTACACCCTTCAGCCCCCTCCTGTCCAACCCTTCCCAGAACCCAAGGCTCCTTGGAACACCGTCTGAGGACCACTGAGACTCTGTACTCTCCCCAGCCTTGAAGGGGCCCCCGGGCGTGGGAGGTGGGAAGGCGCCCCTCCAGGCCTGGAAGCCCAGGTGAGTCAGACCCCAGGCACTGACAGTGCAGACTCCATTCAAGCGGGGCGAGCAGCCGTCTGCAGCAGTCAGAGTAGGCGGCAGGTGGCATGAGATGGCGTGGCACACGGTGCACGGGAAGAGCAGGCTGCTAGCCCCACCACGGCTTAGCACGGAGCCCCGAGTCATGACACAGCCCGGACCGGTGTCCCGCCCTGGGGTGGACGCCGCTGCACTGGCCCCGGAGGCCAGCGTGGTGACCGGCAGGGCGAGTCTAGGTCCGGTGCTGATGGCCCCCATGCCGTTCCAAACTTACCTGCCGCCTCCTGGGGCTCGTGCTTCAGCCAAACTGGGGGAGCCTCTGTCCCTGACGCTCGCTCGTGCACCCCACCCCCACTATCCGCTCAGGCCAGGCTGCATGCAGGCGCTGCACTCGGTCCTTCAGACTGTCCCAGCTACGGGGACAGCACTGTCCTGGGCAGCTAGAGTCCTGCTGTCCAGCCTCTGTCCCCGGGCATCCTCTGCAAGGCCTTGTTAGCTGGTTTACACCCTACAGGTGTCCTGTCTCCTTGTCCTGCCTGGCCATGGAGCTCGCAGGCCCCGTGCACCGTCAGGTTGTCGAATTCCTGGATCTAAGGGTCTGATGCCCACACAACTGGAGCCTGGTTGGCGGCTATCTATCTATATCGCTGATTCATTCTGAGAAATGGGGGAAAGCAGGCTGCTAATTATAAATGCTGCTGAGAGAGAAATGCCTCCAGAATGTTTATCTGCAAGGACTTCCCACATGTCCCACTTGGAAGCACAGCCGGCGGGCCCGGGCTACCCCAGGCGCCTGGAGTTTTTCTCTAAGGGAGCCACGACCCAGGCCTCGGGAGCTGTGTCCCAGGTGTCCGCATTTGCAGGGCCGGCAGACACACCAGGGAGGCATGCAGGCGAGATGTGATCATAAAAATAACCAACGCCGAGCAGGGCACCCCAAGCCGCTGAGCACCATGGCCCCAGATGCCGCAGAGCCACCGGGGCCCTCCTGGGGAGGCAGGTGGTTATTTTTATAACCCGGTGGGGGAGCGGGGCCTGGGGCGGCAGTTACCTCGGTCGGTGTTGGCGAGAGCAACTGAGGCGACTGTGGACACAACACAGAGCAGCCCGTTAGCGCCGCGGCCCCAGGGGGCCACTTGTGAGGAGAGATGACACCGGCACAGACACTCACACGACGGGACCCTCCTCCACCCCGGGACTCCCAAACCTTCTTTTTGGAGAAATATGGTTAATGGCACCCTGAGAAAGAGGCCCCCAGGACAGTGGAGCTTGTCCCCATCTCGGTCCACCCCCAGCTCCCCCCCAAACCCCACACCCCACTCTCCCAAGAAGGTGTTTTTCCAAAAGGAAGACTGTGGGTGGTGACATCCTGGGCGCCTGAGAAAGGCAGGACTCCTGAGCCTTGGGGCTTAGAGGAGGTCCAGCGCTGCCAATGGTGGCACCGGGACCTTAGGGAGCAATGACCAGCCTCCCCAGCCAGGGCCCCCCACTGGAGTAGGTGAGCACCGCCTGCCCCACAGACACCTGTTCTAGGGGGTGGTGGCCGAGTCACTTGACCTCCGCAGCCCCCTTCCTGTGGCTTCCACCAGAGCTCCGACCAGACGGGGCATGAGGAAGCCCACGCCCAGCTCAGGCACGGACCCCACTCCCACCCCGCCTACCGGCCTCTCTCCATGGACCGTATCACCCAGATTGTGGGGTTCCGTGTGTCCCCAGGTACAGAAGCCAGGCAGGAGGGGCACCTGCTGGCCTCGGAGCAAGGAAAGCCGTGCCCCCCTCACCCGCCCTGGCCTGCCCTCGAGCTCCGCAGCTGTGCCCAGCCACTGTGGCTGCAGCGGTGCCTGGACACCAGCAGGGCCAGGCTGGGCTCACTCGTGCCAACCCCCCAAGCACGGCGCCCCCGAGGCCCAGCCCCACTGCCCAAGAAGCCTTTGCTGGAGACTCAAACGGGAGGGGGGGAACCTGAGAGGAAGGAAGGGGCTCTCCTGCCGGCCACCTACACACACAAACGGCACACGCTCGGGCTCACGGCTGGCAGGTGCCCTTGTGTCTGTCACAGAGGAATCCCAAAGAAATCCGTGCACCAGCGGCGAGCCCCGGGCACAGAGGAGGGCAGCCGCGGCTGAGCCGTCAGTGGTGAAGGGAGCTGCCCACGGGGACACCGCACAATAAGTCACCCAGGGTTCCTCCAGTTTGAGGAAGTCAGGGGACAGGGGACAGGCCGTGGCTGGTGAGGGCAGAGCAGGCCCGAATGTTCTGGATAAAGGAAAACCATACATTCCACACATCATGAAAACCATCCCGAACTGCGAAAAAACGGAGGGGCTCTCGCTGCTCCTGTCATTTTCCCGACCGCCGGCGCGCTCCCTGCCCCCTGCCCCGGGGGGCTCGCCCAGACCCTGCCGGGGCGTCGGGCGAGCACAGTGGGACTCCTCAGGGAGCACGAGGCCCCACGCGGCTCAGCGGGGGAGTGGAGGAGGTCCCGCGGGCGACACGCGGGCCGTACCTCGCCGTAGCTCTGCCTGTCCCCCGCCGAGTGGCTGACGTAGGGCGAGTAGGAGATCATGTCGGGCCGGTCGATGTTGTAGATGGCCTTGCTCTTCGGCAGGGCAGCCAGGTCTCTGTAGTCGAGGATCTCATCGCCCAGCTTCGCCTGCCGAGAGCGCGGAGGGCGCAGTTAGACCCGGCGCCGGAGGGCAGGGTGGGGGAGAGCCCGGGCCCGAGCCCCAGTCCCAGCGAGGGTCAAGTGGCTGAGGGGGCGGGCGCCTCATGATCACGTGGGCTGCGTCCCGACGCCTGGCCACAGAACAGCCACCGTGGCCCTGAGGAGGCGCCTTCTCTGAGCCCCGTCTCTCTACCGAGTGGGAGAGATGGTCCCACAGGACACTCCAGGGGTCAAAGAATGGCAGCCTGTGACGTGCCTGACACAGGGCCCAGCAGTCAGCGACACTCAGTCCATGGCCTAAAAATACATACAGACATCTATGTGTGCACACAAATGCACACAACATTCATGCACACATGCAAATGCATGACACGTGTGCACACACCAGAACACATACTTACATGAACGCACACATACAAGCACACCTCTGTGTGTGAATACAAACAAGTACTATAAATACAAGTGCACCCATACATGTACACACACATACCTATACACACCAATACACGCGAACACACAGATACGCATATACACGATACACACATAAACATACATACCCATGTACACACCCCATACACACACACATGCACACTCATACACACATATACACATACACACGTTCTCTTTAACGAAAACAGGATACGTAATATCTATTATCCTTAGCACGCTTCCCCAGGGACATGTATGACACGCAGATCTATGAGGCGCTCCCGCCTGCCTGGCCCCACGTGTGCCGGGCACTTTCATTCAGGCCAGCCCGGCGCTGCGCGTGGGGCGATGCCACTTTTCCACCATCAACAGCAGCTGTGAGCACCTGGCTGTGCCCCTGTCGCCACCTGCCCGGCGAGTGGCCGGGTCCACCTCCACCCACGGGGAAGGGAGACTCTGAGCCAGCTTCCTGAAGTCTGCACCAACCGCCTGGCAGGGTCGGCGGTACCAACGCCTGGCGAGGACACCAAGCCCTCCCGGCTGGCTCGGCAACGACCCCAGGCCCCAGGGCTCCCTCAGTGGTGACTCCAGGCCCCGCCGCCCCAGTCGCCATAGAAAGAGTCCAACTCACGTAAATCACGCGGCTGGGAGACCCTGAGGTGCTGGACGCAGGCACAGAGATGATGCTCTCGGAGGACGTTCTGGTCTCCTGGGGGAGGAGGGGACGGGAGACGGGAAACAGAACATGTCAACGCGAAGCTCCTCCCAGAGGCGGCTGTCACAGTCACACAGCAACAGAGCTGGCTCACGGGTAGTTTTCTCCATTGGCAGGTTGAGAGAATTCTTAAAATAAACAGGCAGGCTGGAACGGACAACTGGGAGACTCAGCAGACAGACAGACAGTGGGTGACACCGTTACCCAAGCAAGGAGCTCTCAGTGCCGACAGCCACCAAGCTTTTGTGGAGCAGAAAGGACCTCTTTTCAGGAGGACAAGTAAGCGGCGTGTTTTCCAAGGATTCTCAGTGCCAACGGCAAAGGCATCTCTCACCCAGAACTGTGCCCCTCAGAGGTATTTTCCACCCAGATTACGGGGACGTGTGGCAGCTCCTTCTAGCAGCCAGGCTCTGGTGTCAGACCGTGGGACGGTCTCAGGACCCTAAAGACCAGCCTCCGCCTGACCCCACAGCTGGTCTCACCCCGCCCCTGGCACCTGCCCCACGCCTTCCTCAGCACCAGCAGCCGTTGGCAATAGCCCTGCATTCGGTCCCACACCCCAGAGATGTCTCAAAAACAGCCCTCTGGAGGTGACCGCTGACCAGTCTCACCAATAGCCCTCAGCCTTGGCCCGGGCCTCACTGTGGCCGTCACACATGGGACCTGCATCTCCAGTGCCCACTGCAGTTTGGAACCAGTCCTGCCCCTCCCACCTCCCCGACCAGATCTCCTGCTGCCCCCAAGGTGAAGGGTCCCCTGACTGTCTATCTCTTCCTTTCCCCAGGTTAGGGCCACCCCATGTCTGTGTGCACACTGTCCTCTGGTTCCCACCCCAACCACAGCACCTGTGTCCTTCCCCACCTGTAGGGCACGACCTGGCATCTCCACTCACCTGGCCCAGCCCCACCCCTGCCCGGGCCACCCCCACCCAGCTTTCCCACTCGCCCCGTCTAAATGGAGCCCATCTCCACGAAGGGCCTCCCAGCCAAGAACTCAAACCCCCTCTCCACACCGCCCTGCCACCTCCCCTCTTGCTTCCTAAGCAGCCCCCACAATTCTGTCCAGCGCCCCTCAGTGGTCCATACCCACTGCAGGGCCAGCAGCCTGGGAGGGGCCAGGTTATGGGCTGAAGTGTGTCCCCCAAACTCATATGTTGAGGTCCTCACCCCCAGAACAGGACTGTATTTGGAGATGGGCCTTTAAAGACCAAATTAAGTTAAAATAGGGCCTTTAGGGTGGCCCAGATTTAATGACCGGATTAGGACACAGACGGAGGGGCCACCCTGTGAGGACACGGGGAGATTAGCACACAGAGGAATGACCCTGCGAGGACACAGGGAGAAGACGGCCATCACAACGCCAAGGAGACAGACCTCGGGAGGACCCAGCCCTGTCCACACCTTGGACTTGGACTTCTAGCCTCCAGGTCCAGGAGGAAGTAAGTCTCTGCTGTTTAAGGCCCAGTCCGGGGCACCGTCAGCCCAGGACACTAACAGGCTGCGGAGCCGTCCCCTCCCCATCGGGGGACACTCAGCTCCCCCTACACTCAGCACAACAGCAGCAAGGACGGGACAACACCAGGACCAGCCGTCAGGCACAAACCTGGAAGGCACAGGGGGTGGTGCCCGAGCCAACCTGCTTCTGCATCTAGAAGGGAGAGAGGGAGAGGCCATGACGTTGCTGCTCACCTCTGCACGCTTGCTCAGCCTGGCTCAGCCCCTGGCACACCCCGGGCATCCTCCAGGAAAAGCTCAGGCCACCGCCTCCTGGAGGCCTGCCCCGCTTTCCCGGGCTCCTAGACCCAGCTCCGCGTACTGAATGGGGCATAGCCTCGGGCCTCCCTGTCCCCTCGGGTCTGCTGCTCGTAGAGCTCAGCCTGAACCCACAGTGCAGCCCCAAGTCCTCGGCACCCCAGGTAAGAAGTAACGTCACGTGCCGTTTGCAAAGGAGATGGCGCTACTCTGAGGCAGGCCACAGGGGGTCTGTTTCCCCCCCCCGTCCCTGTGGCCAAGCGGTCTATTCTACTGGCCATGAATGATGTGTGCCCACATTTTATACCTTTGAAAGAACCCTTTGCATCTCGGTCCCCCGCTAGAAAATGGAAGAAACTCCCCGAGGCTCCGTTTCTGTGGATTCAGAGATTCAGCCTGAGAGGAGCTGGGCTCCAAGGTCACCCTCACTTTCAGTTCAGGTCAAGTGGGGCCCGTGACAAGAAGCCCCTAACCCGACACGGGGTGTTTTCAGAGAAAGTGCCCTGAGCTGGGCGCAGCAGCAGCGGCCCTGCGCTGGCCGCACACCCCAGGGAGCGTTCCTGGCATGCTCGGGCTGTGGGCAGCAGCCTGGGTCTGTCTCTCTGCTCGTGGAGGGCAGTCCCGGGCCAGCAGCACTCCGTGCCCAGTTCCCAGCCCCGTGGAGAGGGGACAGGAGCAGAGCCTCCCTGGTCACTGAGCCCAGATGTCAAGGGAGCTGAGTGGAGGTCATTCTCCCCGGAGTCGGGAGCTGGGGTCTTCCCTCTCGCATCCTTCCCGCCCTGACTCCAGTTCACCCAGTGGAGCCTCAGAATTGAACCCAACGCCAGCCGTGTTCTCGGGGCCTTGTGTACCCGCAATTGGAAGCGGCCGGGCAGTTCAGCCCCCCAGCCCCACAGCTCAGCCTGGCTCTAGAAAGCTCCGTCTACAACAGTCACTGGGGCGGTTCTCATGAGGTCACGCACGAGTCTCGTCGAGTCTCATCGACACCATGCGGGGGGCTGACACCCACTCGTCTCCATGTTAAAGCTGAGGGCCTGAGGCTCAGGGAGGGCTAGCGATTTGTCCAATGTCACACAGACTGGCAGAGGCAAGAAAGGAGCTCTCTCCCAGGGGTCCCAGGCTCCCCAGGGCCTGGCCCAGAGAGGCACTGGTTAAAAGACTGCTGAACACCCCCCAAGACAGGCGAGTTAGCTCTGATACGATTATCAGGTAACAACAGTGCCACCCTGACCGAGGGGGTGGGGTGGGGGACGGTTCTGCAGAGTTAACGAGGCCAGGCCACCTCTGCGGCATTTCTCAGGGGCTGACAGCCCGCTGGAGCTGACCCTGCCAGGCTGGCAGGAGCCGGCAGGGACTGGCTGGTTCGTGGTCATTAACCGGCTTTCTCTCTTCCTGCCACCCGGGCCAGAGCAGCCAGCCAGCTGGAGAACTGTCTCCAAGGGACCTGCGTGCCTGGGGAGCATCATTCGGACCTGCCCCGTCCACTCACGGCCCAGCCCGCCCTGGCCTGTCCATGCCCCAGACGTTACCCTTCATTTCCTGGGCGAGACAGAGGGGCTCT